ACAATAAATAACTTTTCTGTTCCCCCTTCTTATTGAAGAGTTTGGGGTTTTTTTAAAGCTTTTTAATTTGTTTTTTGAGTTGTATGTTTATTGATTGCTTGATAGGTTCTCAGGATTTTATTCAAAAATTCCTCCACATTTCCCTTGGTCTTGTACTGGCATTGGTTCCCACGTGTCAGGCTCTGTGGTGGAAGAAAGAACAACGACTGGGTTACCGAAGATGATATAAACAGTAAAAGATTTCGACGAAACAGTTAAAACACGCGTTATTTGGAGCTAAGCAAGGCTCTCAAAAGCAATCCATAGAGAACTGTTCCTTGAGCTGTTAGTTGGAAGAACGGCTTTTCATGGTGACGGCCGGGCTGTCACACAGCTATAGCTGAAGTTTAGGCTATTTCAGCCTGGAGAACAGGGCAGACAGAGCAGTACGAGACGCCGGGTAAGACAGCGGCCATGGGTCTGCTGGGTGTTGCAATGCCATTCCAACAACGTCCCCCCTGGCAAGTTTGCAGCTCGCTTAAAGGAGCTGGAGAGACTGCAGCATCAGCGTCGTCCACTTCTCGTTGAATTCTACTGCGGCTTTGCTCAGTATGTAAATAAAGGATGTTTCACTGCCCCAGAAAGGGCATCTGGGGATCCAGGCGTCTTCCTGAGCAGCATCCCAAGGCTGAAGATGCTGCAGGTCACAGCAGCATTTCGTGCCCGAGCATCCTTGAAGAGACTGCAGCTTAGGTAGGAGCAACGCTCCAGCAGAGAAGGATGCCTCTGCCTGCCTGTCCCCAGCCACGCCGCTTCAGCACATCTGCTCTCTGGTTTTATATCATCACTATTTAGTGTGGAAACGCATTTCGAGAAAGGAAAATAGACAAGCAATTTAAACAAAGTTCCTCTCCCAGAGAGCTGTGTTCAAAGGTGCTGGTGCTAAAGGGGTTTGGAGAAGGGAGAGGGCGCGGTGGGGCAGAACCCATCTCCCTGCTTCCCCATGCGTGTTGCAGCTATCATATCTGGCTCCTGCATAAAGTATTTAGAACACATCTGAAATTCATCAAACTCTTAGCTACAAATGTTTAAATGATAAAAAATCCTTTCTTCTGTAAAAGGTAGGCAAAGGTGTACAGAAAAGTAAAGTCTTACTTCGCAGAGTTTTCTATCCAGTTGAGTCTGAAAGATTCTCTTAAGCCTTGTGACTGCTTGCTTTGAAGATACGTTGTTTTCCAGCATGTGTGTGGTTCCTTCCACAAAGCATGCCACCTCATAGCCAGGCTGTTAAATGAAGAAAGCATTAGAAAAAGCTAGCATGCGCTTTGTGTTTGTCTACAGAAAGAAGAAATATGTGTTCCTGAACCCGGCAGCACGGCACGGGTACATGTAACACGTTTAGCATTCTACTGAAAACTGATAGGAGAACGCTGGGGGGAGTTGTAAAACCAAATCGTCATGTACGCCCTAAGAAACACCTGTCACATCTTGCAGAAAACCTCAAACCGTAGAAGTAACCTCTTCGAAGCACAGCTTCAGCTAATGCTGGGTTTCACCGTATCTGAGGAGGCTTACAAATATGAAATGGCTTTTGGATGCACCAAGAGCTGAGCATCTGAGGCCTGGCGTCTCCAGCCCAGGTTCACGCAGTATTTAGGCACCGAACCATAAAACAAGGTCTCCTGGAGGTTTTCAGAGCTGTATCTCTTGGTTTGCAAGTCAAGCCCACAGAGGACTTTTGCCTGACTCTGGGCTTGGTTCTGATTGCACTGATAGTGGGAAGGCTTCTGCTTCCCTCCCCACCACGACTCACCAAGCTCAGTTTTGCTGCTACTGGTGTATTAAAACCTTCCTCATAACCAAAAGCACAGGTTATATAAGGAGCAAAGTGAACAAACTTAAACTCCGTTAATACTGAACTTCTCTAATGACTACAGTAGCTTAAAAAAACCAACAACACAACAACCAGGCTTACCTCAGCAATGGGAAGACACGAACATGACTGAAAATGAAAGGAGTGAGCATTAAAATCCAGCATCGCTAGCATTCAACACACAAGTACATTTTTGTTTAGTTTCAGGGTATTCTCAAAAGCCATGTACTCACGCCGACAGCTCTCTCCCGACACGGGCAGCTCGCAGGACTGCTCTCCTGGAAGAATAACAAGCGAGAACTCAGTCTTTATTTTCATCTATTTTACAAGCATGCATTCTTACAGAATTCAGGTGCTAAAGAGCCACTTACAAGTAGGTATGTTGTATGCCGGATAATTTCACTGACACTGCAACTCTGTGCTTGCCCAGAGAGCAGCAGACAGGCGAGGAGGAGGATGTATGGCAGCATGCTGGCATGCGAGTGCGGCTCAGTCTGATGGGTGGCAGGAGAACAGGAGGACGCTCCTTTTAATCGAGTCTTCACAAAATTCCCATTCTAATATGGAAAAACCCAATTATAAAACTGATACCAGGTGCCCACTATTTTTCCCACTCGCTTGGACAGCATTTTAGAGAAATCAAATGTGGAATTGAGTCACCTACTGCAGTGACTTTTCTTTAGTACTGTGGAAATTCACAGATGCTCCTCAGAAGTGATTAATTTGAGCATTATGATATCACACCCCAACAGGAAACAATGGTTAAAAATCTACGAAAGCATTTTTTTTCTTCAGATGTGGGTTTTGTCTCCTGTGCTTATGTAAATTATGGTTCCATGAAAGCGAAGAGTCAATAACGTTCAGCATTGCCAGAGTTCCTGAGAAAACGAAGCGGCGGGCTGCAAGCTGGCTTCCCCCGGCATTCAAAGCAGGACCTTTCCCAAACTACGTTGGTAGCGCTGGGGGGGTCTGTTGAGCAGACAGACAGAAAGACGGAGCTGTGGCGCGGTGCCTGGAGAAGTCATCATGCTGAATTACAGCTGCCGCGTCCAGGGAGCGATCCCGTGGTCCTTGACTGCGATCCCACCCTTGCCAGGGGCAAGCGCCCCTGCCTGCACATAAGGATCGGGCCCTCAGAGTGCAAAGATGGCCTGCAATGTCTCATCCCACCCGTTCCTGCATAAGCCGACAGGAATAGATGGAAAATTTGTCCTAGGCAACCAAAATGATATTAACCTGGAAACGCTCTCACTTGGAGCCTCCCAACCAGGCCGAATGTCTGCTAGAGCTTTCTGTGGCCGCAGGGGTGTTCTTTTTTTCAGCAGAGCAAATGTTCAGATTTCTTTTAGATCCCTGGTGTTGACTTTTAAGCTTCCATCCCGTAACGCCTTAGATGCTGTTATGCCTCAAAGATCTTCTCCAAAAGCTTAAGCCTTCCGCTGGTCAGTCTGGCTGAAGGACGAGTGCGATCTCTTTGGAAACTGCCCTGGAAAGAGAAAACATTGGGTTGTAATTTGCTGGTTTTTCTCTGGTGGTTTGCCTACTGCAAGGGATTCATCTGCCCGCACACCGAGGGGAGTGGGGGAGGATCTGCCCCCTGCCCCGTGCCTGCCCCAGCACCCGCCCCGGGCCGGGGCAGATGCTCCCTGCCTTCTCTTTGAAGTTTGTCCGTAGGTGATTCAGTGGGGGAAGTGCACAAATCCCATTAGGCAGCTACAGCTTTCACACAGGCCCCAGGGAATAGATGGAAAAAGCCAGGAACCCTCCCTTGGCAAGTTAAAGCTGGCAGCAGGCTACTTCATGATCAGCAGACGCACAGAAGTGTATGACGGGGATGGCACTCGTGAGCCAGGCAGTGGCATCTTTAAGGCACTGGGCTGTTGGAGAAGGGCTAACATCACTGATTTGTGGTGGAGAGCCTGTGATTCCCTGCAAAGCAGAAGAGGGACTGCCGTGACGGGTAGGGCTCCCTTGAGGAAACAGCTTTTTGCTCAAGCAAAGCAACGGGCATTGCTGCTCTCCGTTTCTCCAGCCAGTAGAGCCCCATGGCATGAGCCGGAGCAATCGGTTCAAAGCATAAATCTCTGAAGGAAATAAATGGGGTGTAACATTTGTGGGACGCTTGGTGTCTCAGGTGGTTGAAAAATGATTTCAGGTGGTTTTAAAGGAAAGAATTGGCAAGCATCTTAGGTTTAGCCAAAGCTGCGCAAGGAATGTGGCAACAAGGCATGGGGCTGTTCGTGACAGCCAAGAGCTTCTACTGCTTCTTGTTTTTAAGGAAAATATGTTCATTAGAAATCCCATTCTGCCCAGTAGCTGCTACGCTTTGTCTTTGCCAGAATTTTACAAACCCTGACACCCTTAGCAGCGTCTCCAGGGCCTCTTCACCTAAGGGATGATGTCCCAGGGCAGCGGCCGTGCTTTGGGAGTGAAAGCGATTGGTGGCATAAAGGGTGTGCAGGGTAGAAAACTGGGGTCTTTCCCGACGGGAGACGGAATTGCATTCACTGGACAGGGAGCAGATGAGGCAGCTTCTTCCCAGGCCTGTAGCCCCAAAGGACAAGATCTGTGTTTTCATTACTCGCTGAAAATCAGAACGGCAGAGCTTCCAGAGCTGCTCTGGAGCTGCTCCCCGAGCCGGCGGTTCCTCCTTGCAGCCTCTAGCTGCCAGCGGTGCCAGCACTATCTCTCCATCTTTTCCTTTCTATCTGATTGCTTAATGAGATCTGTCTCCTGCTGTTGTTGCCCCAGGGCAAATAGGTCACCAGAGGAGCTGTATTCAATTTACAGTGAATCAGAAACCACCAGAAGTCAAACTGGCAGGGAAAGAACTTCCCAGGTAGTGGCTGGAGCAGCAGCGGGTTGGGCGCAGAAGCGAGTGGCGCCGGTTACAGCTTCTCTGCGGGGAGTTTCGCTCTATTCTGGCATTTAGAGGCTGATCCAAAGACCATGGAAATTAATATTTGCTGCCATCCCAGCAAAAAGACCAGCTTTTTCCCATAATCCTTAAACACTTGGGGTTGATATTTTAAAAGTCGTCGTTGTGATGACCAGCTGCGGCAACGTATTTTCACAACCACGTCGTCATTTGTGTGTTAAACATGATCAGCGGTTTGGTTTCTGTCCTCGTGTCCAAGGTAGCTGCTCTGCCTCTGCTCCTCTCCCTGGATCTCTCTTCCAGCAACACAGGCCAAAATGTAGGGAGGAAATAGACTGAAAAACCCTGAAACAAATTCGCAATAAATTCAGTAGCCAAACTGCCGTAGGTGGGAAGGCGGCTGTGGGAGTCCACTTCCCTCCGAGGATGCGAACCCACAAGCCTCAAAAGGCTGGTTGTCAAAGTCAGGAGCCACCAGTGCTAAGCTTGGTCTTCCCAAAGCTTTTTCCTCCCTTTTAAGCTTTCTGGCTGGAAGAACCAGAAACAAAATGAAGAACAGAAACCTAGGATTTTTAGTAAACGTCACCAAGCTGGCAGGTAGCGTTAGTCCATGGACACATCCCCTACGCTGCCCTTGGGAAACCTGAGCGGGAGGAATCGGCGTGGTCAGCCCGGGGCAGGACCGTGCCGTAGCAGGTCCCATATCTCCAACCCTCACACTGCTTCCCGGCATCCTAAAGGATGCAGAGCAAGGGAGGGGGCAGAGAGCGCCTTCGGCTGGGGGTGCTGCCGACACCAAAGCAGCACCTCGGCTGGGTGGGCCAGGGTCAAGATCCCAACTTCTGTGGAACAGGATTGTAAGATTCCAGCCCAGACAGGTATCTGGAAAAGGTGGACGCACAAAATCCTCCCCATAAATTTCTTTGGTCTCTTACAAGCCCTTGCCCCTGGCTCTTTTGGAACTCCTCATCTAAAGTCCTGTACATTCTTGATTCATGTGTAAATTCTTTGGGAGGGATTCCCTTTCAATGCACCGCTTTTGATGAGAGGTTGATTGACTGAAAATGTCGCACAAACGTCCAA